ACCCGGAGGGTCAACCCGGTCAAAGCCGGAAAACCGGTCAACGATTATACGTCTATATAATAATAATAAACATATAATTATATACACTCTCATTATATATTTTTATTTTGTATTGTACATTTATATTATAAATATATTACATAGTTTTTCTTTTTAGGGAATTGAAATTGCAATATTATTGGTTTAAAAAATGCATTAAAATTAAAAAAGAAATTACTTTTCTTTTTGGAAAAGACCGAAAATCTGGTTTTCCCGAGTTTTTCGGGTTTCTTGGGTCGGGTCCGGATCGGTTTTTTCGGGTCAACCGGGTTTTTCCGGTTTTTGACCATTTTCGGGTTTTGAAGAAACCGAACCGGATTTTTGTCCGGGTCACCGGGTTCCGGGTCAACCCGGCCGGGTCGGGTCGGTTTTTTAAACATAGGTAACTAGTGCCCAAATGTGGGGTCATGGAGCTGGGAAGGTTGGCCGTTGGGGCAAAGACATTGCCCCGTGGGGTGATTGAAAAAAAATGGTTTTCACCCTCTCGCCTAGCTTAAAAAAGTTGAAATGAATGTTTTCAAGTAACCGTTTTTACTTAAATTAAACACTTAAAATGTAAAAGCTGAAAACTGGTTGAGAAGTGCTTTAAAGTGCTTTTCACTTTTTTCATTGCACAAAAATCACTTATTTTATCAAACACTACTCACTTTTACTTTTTCAAAAAGATTTTTTCTAAAACACTATTAATTTTTACTATTAAGCATTTCCTCTAAATTCATTTCAAATAATCACTTTTTTAAATTAAGAGCAATCGCAAATACTCCCTGAAGTTAATCACACACCCATAGGTTGGCCGTTGGGGCAAACAAATTGACCCAAAGTAGATAATTATGGGAAGGTAGTGGTTGGTGGATGTGGATAATCCCTTTGTTAAATGTGTTAAATTAGTAGCCCGTGTTTAGAAAATTATTGAGATTCACAAATGTTTTCCATTTGAATTAATTCTACTTTAGCTCTTCCGAGTTTTGTGTCATTTTCATATTTAGTACTCGTCTTTCACTTTATCCATTTTTGGTACCTAACTATTGTTTCCTTGACCATTTTTGGTCCATCTCTAGGCATTTTTACTACTGGAAAAGGACTATATATAGTCAAAAAAACGATAGTGAGGTAACAAATATGGATAAAGTGAAAGACGAGGAGTAATTGTAGAATTGGTGCAAAACTCGAAGGACCATAAGTGGAATTTCTTCTTTTCCATTTTAATAGATATGCATTTTCAATAGGACTAGTGTTATGCATCAATCAATATTATAAGAGAAGTGCATTTCGTAAAATTGATAAAGTTTTTGTACAAATTGAATCAAATTTTCTTTTATTTCAAATTAAATACTTTATTAAATTAATCTCCTTAAGTATATGGGGACTAGAATATAGATATAGGCAAGAAATTCTAAAATGAATATACAAAATCATGCAAAAATTCAAAAAACGTAATTCATCATGTACACATTTGCACTATATATTTCAAATCAGTGCGCTTTAATGTGTAACTAATTTCACATTCCTTGTTGCACATTTGTTGTTAAAATAGTGCATATCTTCAAAAACTTGTAACATGTAATAATTATATATATTAAATGTGCAAGAATTAATGAACTCAGGTGCACTATATTGAAAACAATTGCAATTAACTCGAGAAATTTTATATATGCACTTCCATACGAATTTTGTGCAACTTTAATTCTGATCCATTAAATTTTTAACCATATTTTTATTTTCCAAATAAAAATACCCCATAGTTAAGATCATATCATTGTTTTTTATTCTTTAACCCATTTGTATACTTTATGAAGTTACTTAAGTATGTGTATATTTTACTTCGATTTTATTCTCAAAGCTGTGTATATATTTTTACAAAATTGCACACTTGAATCGGTGAGAGTGTATATTGCACAGCTCCAAGTATGTGTATATTTTTACAAAATTACAAAATTACAAAATAGCTAGTATATTTTAAACTTATTTTATATCATGATGCACATTATTTGTTAAAACGATGCACGGTTTGTGATGCACATTTGTTATCAAAATGATGCACAAAACCATTTGGTGAGACGGCAGGGCGGCGAGGAAATAAAGACCATGGCATACACACAACGCATCAATGTATATGTAGGTTTCACGACAAGAGCATCACTCCAGAAAATGCCATGTAAGGGGAGAAACATCATTTCTGCGATGTATAGATGAATAAGAGAAATCTGTAATGCATCCCCAGGGTGAGAAAGAGCGGTTCTTTTCATGTGTGCTTGAAGTTATTCAAAAGTGGAAGTGGATGACTGGTAGTCTAGTATGTAGATGGAAGAAAACCTAAGCAAAGAAGAAACAAGTTTGAAAGAAAATGGAGTATAACACATAAGGAAGATAAATAGAAAATTAAATGGAGGCTTTATATTTGGAATGAAATCCTCCTAACAATTAGCTACACGTGAAACTAAATAGATGCAAAAAAAGAAATACCTCTTTTGCCCAAAAAAAGTAGCCATGTAAGTAATTAAAAGTCCAAAGATCCAATGGTATTCTGAGATGGTTTTCTTATTTGAACACACACACACACATATATATATATATATATATAGGGAGCGGTTCCGGTGAGAACACACTCCCAGGAGAGGGGAAAAGATTCATTTTGGACGCTCCATTGTATCAATCTTGCGGCTGAGATTCAATCTTGTGTGCAACAACTAAAAATGCGAAGTGTGCCTTAGAAGGGCATTTAGGTAAAAGGCTGGAGCAATTAATTAAGGCGGTTGGACGCACTGTTTTTTAGATGGCAAAAGCATTCAATATAAAACGAGATTCCCTATTATTTCGCCATGACCAAAGTTATAAAATACAATCATGATATTGCATCTCCAATTAATTTAAAATGTACGTGTAAATCATTTGAAGTTTAGGAGCATTATTTCATTATATTTGACACGTGTATTTCTCTTGTGAAAAATATAGACAATCAAGTGCATGGAATATTATGTTAAGTGGAGCAATATTTAATTATTAATGTATGATATGTATTTACAATGCATTGATTACGACATGATATTTATCTATACGTATGCCTTTTATAAAGTGCAAAACTAAAGTATCAATGGTGCTTATGTGTTTATTAAAATGTGTGCAAAATTCTAATGAATGAAATGATATTTTTAGTGCAACTATGGTCGTTGAGTTTTATCTCTGCGTGGAAATATTGTGTGGAAATATTGTGATGTGAAAAATTATATGTTAAAAGTGCATGTTATTGAAATTGGAATATTTTGATATTAAGATACTAGTTATGCACTATTGACAAAAACATTATGCACAAAAGTAAATTTTAAATGCACTTTCTAATTGAAGTGTGTTGTTCTCGTTAAAATAAATAATATATAAGTAAACTAGCAACTAAGAAGTGCACTCAAAATGCATGCTTATGTGCACTTGCACTCTATAATATTAAAGTTTTTAAACACGCACTTTATATACTTTGTTTTGCACTTTTAATATAGTAATATAAATTACTATCATTTGCATTATCATGTGCATTTTAATAAAGTTTTTAAACTAACAATCATCATGTGCATTATAATATAAAGTTTTAATATATTAATAAAGTTTTTAATATATACGGGTGTAAACTAACAATTATCATGTGCATTTTAATATAAATAAAAATGCATTATTACATCACATTTTCTAAAATTTTACGTTAGCACTTTCTCACAAAATGAAATGCACTTTTATCATGTGCATTTAAATATATACCAAAGTGCATGAATAAAGTATGATAAGTGCATCAAAGTTCAACAATATATTTTGATAAAATAGGGGTCAAAAGTGCATGAAAGTGGTTGTGCTAGTGCACTAATGAGGTCAAGTGCTTCATTAACAATGCAATATAGATAAATTTAAATAATCAATATTGTTACAAAAAAGTTAATTTAACAATCTATACTTACATGTGTACTAGTATATACACATTTTTGTTCACATTTTTTATTAGTAATATTTTTTGGAAAACAATTCTGAATGCCTACAATAAACTACTTTGAATATAATACTCTAAAAATATTGTAGTGATAATTCATGGCACATGGTGATGTGAAATGCTTGATGAAGACATAGATATGTACAAAAAAACATAAAAAACGAAAAAAGAAGAAAGAGGCAAGAATGGAATTAAATGATTGAATAAGACATGCAAGGAAAGTTAATACGGAGTATTTTTTAGGTGGATGTGGGTTAACTGTTTTAGGAATCGTCATACACAACGAATTGGGGGAAAGAAATGACATTATTAACCTCCAGGAAGAGCAATCACACGGAAGAATTAAAACATGATCTAATGGTCCTTATTTGTTCTTTTTTACTCTCCTAAGATTAAGTTCTCACATGAACCTAAATCTATATATATATATATATATATATATATATATATATATATATATATATATATATATATATATATATATATTTCCTCCGTTCCTTTTTAGTTGCAACATTCTATTTTTCACATTTGTCAACGCACAACTTTGATCGTCATTATATTTAATTTTGTATTAGTAAATAAAAATTAAAAATCAGATTATCAAACTTAGTAATGGGATGAATTTAATATTATTTTTCCAAAAAAATAATTCGCATACATTAATAAATAAAATATTATCAAAGTATAGTACATGAAAAGTGTATAAATTGCAATGTTGCAACTAATATGATAGGGAGGATTGTAATTTGTGATGATTGGAAAGCTGAAAAAGTTCCTCGAAGCTGCTTTCATCTTTTAAGAAGCACCTAATTTTAATTATCAAGCACACCAATGATGCATAAGTGTTATGCTCACTTTTAAATTATTTCAAATGCATTATACTACTCACATATTCTATAAGACTTTATGCCTAATATTTTACTAACGAGATGTTTATGAAATAATTTCATATTTACATTCTTCACGTAAAATATTTCTATAGTCATGCATGCTTTTTGTTTGTTTTAATTATTTTTACTGCATTTATTCTTCACGTAAAATATTGTCCCTCCATATACTTGCATGCGAAAATTAAAAATTTCTTAATCGATCTAAGATACAAATCACACTATTATGACTGGGCAATCTTAATCGCATATGACCTTGAGAGAGCAGCTATAACATTATGCAAATATATAATTGCATATGACATCTTGGCAATCTTATGCCATGTATTTGACAATTGACATCTTTTATTATATAATCTTCTAAAGGATATTGTGGTTGTGAGTGGTCCAGGCGGAGCTGCCAAACAAAATCCGACCTTTCCACCCCTGTAGAACCCAATGACCATCTTCAGCAAAAAGAAAGTCTTTGTGACATCCTTCCCTCGCCATGTCTCTTATCTTTTTGAAAATTTGAGGATTTAGGACCATTTGTCTGAACCCAGCCCTAGTAATGCGATTTTGCCATTGTATGTATGTTTCAGGCCTCTCTAACCTTTCCATGCCCTCACATGCTACAATATTTGCTATGACAGGCCCAAGAACTGCTAGTTCAAAATTTAACCTTTCACTATTGCTTCGTGGGAAAATAGTTTCAAGCATATCAAAGCCAGCAGAGAAGTAGGAGAGAGCCGACCGGACCCTATTAACAAAGAAAGGAGAACCATAAGATGCACTGACAACAGAATGCACAAAGATGTGAGGGTTTACTTCTCGGATTAAGTTTAAAACACCATCCCTTGGGCAGTCCACACCACATACTGTCTCGTCTAGTAAGCGTTTGAGTCGAAGAGTACAGTTAACAGCAACCACCTCACCCATCGCAAGCTTCAAGTCATCTATCTTAATTGCCTCCCAGTTCTTTGATGTTACAGAGTTGTATTCAAATGGTACTCCGAAGCGATGGCAGTATTTAGCCAAACGAGAACCAGTCTCCAATACCATTTGTGATGGACGAAAACCGGGTTGGGGAAGCTCAATTCCTGTTATTCGAAGCTTTGGAGGGCCACCAGGTCTTTGTGAAAGATCTCGAATAAGAGTAGGCCACTGGATACCATGAAGAATACCAAAATCTATAACATGCAGTGATGCTCCTTTTGACGCTGCTTCATAAATCATTCTATTTGCGAAGAAGATTGACATCCTCATAAATGGCACATATGATGAAATGTTGGATTTCTGCATTTCGGGAACAACCATCTTATTGTGAAATGATGATGAAGGATACAGTTCAGCCCCAGTTCCAGCTAGCCGGGCCTCAAGACTGTCCACAAATGCATGTGCCAACCTTTGGTTTGGATCACCGGTAGGGGAAGAGTACTGTCTGATCGTCTTTAGTTGTTCTACTGCCACCTTGTAATTAGCAGCTGCAATTGATTTTGCGCAGCTGAGCAGAAGAGACTCTACATTCACAAATTCAAATTCATATCCGCGTTTATATGTAGAACCTTTGCAACCACTTCGCCCTTTTTGTTGTTGTTTTCCTGCTCCAAATGGAGAAATATCAGTACACAGCAAAACCTTATCAAACATCTCTGATAAGTCATCCTCATCCTTATAAGCTGCACATTGTTTCCTACTCCTTCCCTCTCCTTTTTCTTCTACGAGCTCACTTTCACCTGAACGAAAATGCTTCATTCCTCGATATGAATCAGTGGAATGCTCCTTCTCTATAGTCACAACTCCACTTTTGATCGATGGGTATATTTCATCGAAATGGATGAGCATCGGATTACTGGTAGGAAAGAATGTTCTAGTTTCCTCCACGCCTCTCTAGAAGTGCAAAATGAAAGCATTATCATTATCAAAAAAAGTATTTGCAACCAAATTAGCACTAACTAAGCTATGTAAGGAATTGTTTAACCCATCTAAGCCAGTCTTAATTCCTTGACAAATTAAAGTTATAGTGATCCATGTGATCAGCTTCATAACTGAGATGCCAGGGGCTTGGATGGGTAAGCAAACAAATAAATAATAGCGGAAATCATTACATTTCTGTTGTGCTTATTGTTTTGCTTGTCTTTACTTACTTTAGATCATATTTTAAATCATATGCATTTGAAAAATGATTTGTGATTAAATATAAGTATATGTGGAGTTTTATTTTTTCATATACGATTGGAGTGACAAAGAGTAATTTTTGTGGATTTAATTTCAAGTGTGGATTACTCTGATTTTTTAGTATTTCATACTCCATTCAACAAGGATTAGGAAATTCTTCACCACAACAACAGGAAATTATATTTTAGTTTGATGCTTTATACAGAGTATTTGTTAAACAATAAACCATAAATTGTTTATAAAAGCTAGAATAGATGCACTAAACCCAGAAAAAGAATTATAACCTTCGAATGACAGTCAAGCAACTCAAAAGGAATCATTGGAGCTCCAAAAGCTTGCTGTGGAAAATGTGATGTTTCTCTGAAACAAAGTAGCTTATGAGATCGATCCTGCATTAGCATAAATAAAACATATCACGGAAAATTAAATCACGAAATGAAACTTAAAACTTTTGGGAAAATTAAGCAATAGAACAATATTGCAGTTTAAATAAATAAAATAAAGAGTAACCCACTAAACCCCTACATATTCGGCAATGAAACCCACTACTTTTACCAAAAAAAAATGAAACCCACTACTTACGGTAGTTCTCCACCATATTGCTGAGTCATCATGTTATCACAAGACATTCATGTTAACATTATTTACGTTATTCTTTTACAGGTCAGCATAACTTGAGTTTAGACATGCTACATTGGAGACGGAAATGCTAGTAGCAATGTTAACATCGACGATGTGGCAATTATTATTAATGTTAACAATATATCATTGGTGATGCTCTAAGTTAGAAATTGAAAATGCACTCTTCAACCACTATCTTATGGCATAAGGTTTGCAAAAAAGTGTATAGCGAAGGGTTAAAGTGGGTATAACAGAAATTTTATAGAGCCCGTCACGTGCTCAATAACGAGCACGTAAGTCTACGTGGCTGTTGACACGGAGCACTACTTCACAATTACTCTCTCGTTCAATTCTTTTTTCAAAGCCCAATTCATTTAGCATCAGTCCACCTTGGAACGAAGCAAGTGTTTTAGCGGTAGGTTTAAATAATATGTAGTACTACGTAGTAATAGTAATAGTAATAGTAATAGTAATAGTAATAGTAATAGTAATAGTAATAGTAATAGTAATAGTAATAGTAATAGTAATAGTAATAGTAATAGTAATAGTAATAGTAATAGTAATAGTAATAGTAATAGTAATAGTAATAGTAATAGTAATAGTAATAGTAATAGTAATAGTAATAGTAATAGTAATAGTAATAATAATAATAATAATAATAATAATTTCTCCGTATTTTTTTGTTTGTTAAACTTTCCTTTTTTTAGATGTATTCAAAAATTTGTTACACTTTCCCTTTTTAGTATTGGACATAAAGCATGCCTGGTGGAGAATCTATCCCCCATTCACTGGCATCGAAAATCAGAAACAATGTAATGCAGCATGGCTACGCGAGAGAAAGGGCAACCTTTTTTTTTTTTAACTCCAGGGGCATCTAGGGGAGGGGGGTTGGGAGAGCCTGGAGTAATCTAGGCTGAAACTCACTCCATTGATCGAGTTTCGAACCCGAGACCTCCCGTAAGGGAGAGTGAGTCGGCGACCAGCGGGGCTGGACCGCTTCCTCAAGGCGACCTCCAATTAGAAAATTGTTTGTTGTAATTAAATGGGAAGATTGCCGAAATAGGAGTAAAAAAGTTTGAAAATTCCAAAATATGATTGACATGTTTTTATTCTCAATGTAGGAGTAATATTGCCATGTTTAAAGTCTAATATTGCCAAAACATGACAGTGATTAGTCATATTTTGAGAAGCAAAACATGATAATCCTATTTCAGAGCATACAAACTTTTTAGGGTAATTTCCCTTTTTAAATTTTTAAATTTTAGTCCTGTTTAGGGTAATCTCTCTTTTTAAAATTTTAAAGGATTATTAGCTAAATATATCCCCAACTATCATCAAATTCACAAATTTATCCCATACTTTCACTTTTATTAAAATAAGACTCAAACTTCAACTTTTGTCACAATTATACTTTCAATGGATGAATTAGTAAAACTTAAGATGAAAATCATATTTATATTTCATATTTTTTCACTTCTTTGGAGTTTTAAGCTTACAAACTTGTATTGCTTATACTCCGTATCTTATAGATATTGATAAAAATGTGTTATTTTGAAAAAACAAAAAAGCAAAAGCATATTTGTTTAAAGGGAAATTTCCTAGGATATGACTAAAACTCAATGAGTTTCTCAATCTATGACCTAACTAGTTTTTAGACTTTTGTATGACTAAAAATAAAAAATAAAAGAAATTTCGTTTATTGTTAAAGGTTGAATGACGAAAATACTCTTATTTAAAATATGTGCATTTTGAACTAATTTTGCCCAATTAAAATTACTGCACTTTATATTACCATTAATGCACAACATTAATGCACGACTTTACTGCACGCCCGGTAATAATCAATGCACTTCCGCCAAAATTAATTCTTTTCTGATTTACTTTAGGAAAGTATTTATAGTTTTTATTTTTTATTTTTTAGATTTAAAAATTTTATTATTTTACGTCTCATTAAGTAAATATTGTGTTTCATGACGAAATTATTACTCTATGTTACTGCATTACCGGTCATAATCACTGCATAATAAACTTCTTTAATGCATTCATTCACTGCCATGTACAACATATATATTGTCATACTCAATAATATCTACTACGTAGTATGATGTTCATTGCTCATATTCACTGCACATATTTAATGCACAGAAACCCTAATTTTAAAAACTCAAAATTTTGAAACATAAAAGCAAAACTGAGATGGTGGGCCTAATTAAGCTAGCCGCAGATCCAAGTGTAGTGGATCCAGTCTGCACACATTTCAAAAAAGCCAAACCTAATTATATTTTTAATTGGATTGTTCATCTACGGAAGATGGAGGCCTCAAATTGGAGCATTCATCTAGATCTATTTCACCCATGGAGGCGGACGTACAGTCATGCGTCTAGATGGAGGCGGCGAGTTGGAGTGCGGCTATGCAGTTATATGGCGGTGGCTGGTTGGGGACGAACGGCGGCACCTTGAAGGCGGCGGCTGGTTGGGGATGAAGGGCGGCGCACAGAGCTTGGGGCGGGGGTGGCGCACAGAGCTTGGGGCGGGGGCGGCGCACAAAGGCTGAGATAGCGGCAGCGCACATGGTTCTCCGGCCATCTCTGCACATGTGTGAGGCTGCCGGTAACCTCCGAACAAACCATCGTGCATGAAACTTGAGCAACGAGCACGCAGCCGCGCGGCTAGACGGCGGAGGAAGATGATCGTGCGACGGCGGCTGACGGTCGTGGGAGGAGGGTGTGCGGTTGAAGACTAGTTTAGGGTTGGAGGAAATTAGTAGAAGATTAGGGTTTTATAGACATATTCTAAAGGGTATATTAGTCCATGAAATTTATTTATTTATTCATTAATTACGAAATTAATTAAATATTAGTAATATAAATATTATTTTGGGAATAAAACTAGTTAGGTCATAGATTGAGACACTCATGGTAATTTCGTAAGAATAGGATTTGCTGTGTAACTCAAGCCAAACCATTTCTGAAGCTGTATAACTCATACTCCGATATTCAGATCGACTTTGCTGTGGATTTGCTTACAGTTCTTTGCTTCTTGAATTGGTCTTCCAAGAAATAAGGGACTTTCCAAGAAAGATGCAGTAACCGGATAAGAATCTACTTCTGGTTAAACAGGATCCCCAGTCTGCATCACAATATGCAGTAAGAGCAATGGATGATTGAGCAGGATAGAATAATCCTAAATGCATGGTTCCTTTAAGATATCTGACCAAATGCAATGTTGTTTGCATATGTATGATTCTCGGAGTATTGAGATACTGGCTCAGTTGCTAAACTGAATAAGAGATGTTTGGTCTGGTGAGATTAAGGTATAGAAGTCTTCCAACAAGTCTTCTATATTGATCAGGCCGAGGATAAAGTTCACCAACCTCTGCAGAAAGTTTCAGTCCAGTAGGCATAGGAAAATTTGCAGCTTTGCAATCTAACATATTAGTATCTTGTAAGATATCTAAAATGTATTTTCTCTGGTTCATTATGATCCCTTGGTTGTTTCTAGCCACTTCAATGCCTAGAAAATACCTTAAAGATCTTAGATCTTTAATGGTAAATGCCTAGTCTAGAGATTCTTTGATCTCAGTGATTTGTTCTTTACCGTTGCCTGTGACAAGTAGATCATCAACATAGGTAAGAATAGCAACAAATTTACTATTGTCATCCTTGATGAAAAGAGAGTGATCAAGTTTGGATGGTGTGAAACCAAGTTTCAATAAGAATTTTGTGAGTTCAAAATTCCATTGTCTTGATGCCTGTTTTAGTCCATATAGTGATCGTTTTAGCTTGCATACTTGATTTGGTTGTGCCTTGCAATAACTTTTAGGACTCTCCATATAGACTTCTTCATGTATGAATCCATGGAGGAATGCATTGTTTATATCCAGTTGATGTAGGAACCAGCCCTTTGCAGCAGCTAAGGCAATCAATCCTCTCACTGTGGTGAACTTTGCAACTGGACTAAAAGTATGTTTGAAATCTTTGCCTTTGATTTGGTTATACCCTTTGGCAATTAATCTAGCTTTATATCTTTCAATAGTGCCATTGGGTTGAAACTTGATCTTATAAACCCATTTGGTTCTAATAGCTTTCTTATCCTTGGGCAATTCAGTTAATTCCCAAGTGTGATTCTTTTCTAGAGCATTTAATTCTTGTGTCATAGCTTCCACCCAGTGTGGATCAGTCTTTGCTTGAGAATAGGTTAGAGGTTCATAGACACTGAGAACATGTGAGAGAGCTGCTATATATGTAATCAGGATCATAGTATGATGAAATGGAAGTGATCATGTTTGCTACATAAGAAGTAGTGTCCTTTGACATGTTTTCTGGAATTAAAGACTTTGGAAGATCTTTGCATAGATATCCTTCAAGCTTGTGAGATATTGTTCATGATCTGGATGACTTTCTTGTTTGCTTTTGTGGCAAAGTGGTTTGTGGGGGCAAGTTGGTTTGTGGATGAGATGGAATATGAGTATTTGACTGAGAAGAGGAAGTGTGAATATCTGATTCAATAATGAGTGGAGTATGACCAATTTGTGATTGGTTTGAGTGATATGAAAAGTTGTTTTCTGTTTGAGACTGGAAAGGGATGGAATTGCCTAAATGAGAAATATGCAATTCCAGAGAGTGTTCAGAATCATTCTGAGTTTTGTTTTCTACCGGAGGGAATATATTTTCTCTGAATATAACATCTCTACTTACAAATATCTTGTGATGTTTTAGATCATATAACTTATATCCCTTTTGAGCAAAAGGATATCCAATCAAGATACTCTTTATAGCTCTACTTTCCAGTTTATCAGTAGATTTCATTGCTGCATAACAAAGGCAACCAAACAGCCTAAGGTGCTCATGGTTTGGAGGCCTTTGAAATAGAGCTTGATAGGGACAATTCTATTTCAGAAGATGGCATCAAATTTATCAAATGAGTTGTAGTTAGGATGCATTCTCCCCAAAATTTCTTAGGCAATCCTGCTTGTAGTCTTAGTGATCTGGCGGTATCTAATAAATGTCTGTGTTTCCTCTCAACTCTTCCATTTTGTTGTAGATTTCTAGGAATACTCCTTTGATGTACAATTCCTTTTTGTAGAAACATCTTTCCAAAATTAGATTGTACAATTTCAGTACCATTCTCACTCCTTATGCATTTTATTGTTGCCTTAAACTGTGTTTCAGCATAAGCAATGAAATCAAATATGATTTGTGGTACTTCAGTCTTATCCTTCACTAGATATGTCCAAGTATTTCTTGTGCAATCATCTAATATTGTTAGGAAATATGATGCCCCAGTGATTGATTTAATCTTATATGCTCCCCAAAGATCAATATGAATTAGCTCAAAAGGACTATGAGCTATGGATTCACTCCTATCAAAGGACAATTTATGATGCTTGGCTAATAGACATATCTCACATGAAAGATCCTTCACTTTATTGATATCAGAAAGAAAAAACAAGCGCTGTAATTTGGACAATGATGTGTGTCCTAATCTATGATGTATCAGCATGATATGATCTGGTATTTGATTATTCCGTGCTCTATTTACAACATGTGAGCTAGATGAACCATCTGTCTTATTTGTATCTACAAATACTGACAAACCAGAATGTAAACTGTCTTCAAGCTGGAACAAACCATCCTTCTTTCTCTTAAGGCATACATCTTTATAAGGTAAAAGGCCCTGGATAAAACAACCAGAGTCATTGAAAACTGCAGTCAATTTTGTGTCCTTGACCAGTTCTCCTATTGATAGAAGATTATGTTTGAATTCAGGTACAAACATAACATTGTGTAGGATCAGATTCTCGAAAATCAGCACATCTCCAATAATTTCAACACATTTGATTGATCCATCAGTAAGAGCAATTTTAGCAGGTGAACTTAATTGAGTTTTGTTTCTCAAAATGCTAAATTCAGAAGTCATATGATCCGTTGCACCAGTGTGTATAATCCACTTAATACTTTTTCTATCAAATTTATTAGATTCAGCAGAAGATTTATGTTTTGTACCTGCTAGATCACAATCAGTATATGATGCCATAGCATGACCTGAGTATCCAGTTTGTTGGATATTTTTGTTCTTCTGAGATAGAAAGAGTTGAATCACCTAAGGATCAATTTGCTTCAATGTTGAGAATTGTCCTTCAACATCAGATTGGTTTGGAAAGTCTGGTCGATTTTCATTTACTTTTCTTTTTAGTTTATGATCAATAGAACTGCTTCTAGCACCTTCATCCATGTTTGAAGCATTTCCTGTAAACTTTTGTTTTGTTTAGAATTTCCTTGAGCATTCTTTCCTTTGAACCAATCTGGATATCCTTTGATCTCAAAACAGTCCTTCACAACATGTCCTTTTTTGTTGCAATATATGCATAACAGATTTTGTTTCTCAAGTTTCATTTTCTGATAATCTGCCTTGGATATGAAGGCTTCCAATCAGGGTTATTTTCTGATATTCTGCTCAACTTGTTAACAGCCATAGCCATACCACCTGAAACATCTCCATGATATCCGGTAATAGATTTATGCATTTCCACTTGCTGAACTGTAAAGTATGGTTGATTGACAATAGGTAAAGGATCAACTCCCAAGATCTGGCTTCTTGTTGGTTCAAATTGATCATCTAGTCCCATTAGGAACTCAATTAGCTTGTTTCTGTTTTCTCTTTCAACAATACGTTTTAAGAGATTACAATTGCAAGATTTCGAAGCTTCGCACTCACATATTGGTAAGGCATCTAGTGTGAGAATGTCTTCCCAGACACTTTTAAGTCTACCAAAGTAATCAGCGACCGTCTTCCCATCCCGAGTAATGCGGCTGAGATCTTTCTTCAACTGATGCAGGTATGGAGCGTTAGTTTGGCTATATCTTTCTTTGATTTCTTCCCATAACTGTTTTGATGATTGTACGTACATCATCATTCTCGCAATTTTTGGATCCATCGAGTGCAAAATCTAGCACATTACTGTGTAATCAATTCTCATCCAGTCCTGATATGTATCGTCATCTTCCTTCGGCTCCTTCAATTTTCCAGTAACAAATCCAAGTTTATTCTTGGATATCAACCCCATTTTGACTCCTTTGGAGCAGTTCAGATAGTTGTTCCGTTCGAATACTTCATCTGTGAGTTTCAGATTTGATGTATCCGCTGAGCTGAGATAGTACGGATCCTTATACGATCCTGAGTTCATGCTTTGAGATTGTTGTACTGTTTCTGTGGAGCTTGGCATCCTGTAGATTAATGGCGGAATTACTGATTTGGATCTTCAAGAGCGACGAAGCTCTGATACCATGTAGAAAAGTAGAAGGAAGAATCGAGAAGAGAGAAATTGACTATTGAAGGAAAAGATCTGATTGTTATTTTCTTATGACTTTGAATTTATACAGACTGCTATTCTATTATTTTGTAACTAATCGGTTGTTATCTAACAAACTTATTTAACCGAGTGAACAATACAATATAATGTGCTGTAGCTATATTCTTCATAGATAGATTTGTGAATTTGATGATAGTTTGGGATAAAATAAGCTAATAATCCAATTTTAAACTACGGTATCTTTCGTTCCAAAAAGAAAACTACGGTATCTTTCCTATTTGTACTCCACTTTTTACAAAATAGTATACCAAAATTCATAATTTTTAGACCAATATTACATAAGAAATGTTTTTTTTAAATTGAAGTTCCAAGTGGTGGAGTTTTTAGACTCAAAATTAAGTTTACGACAAAAGGCATACCGCGCGCATACAAGCATCTAATTTAGGACCAACACCAGTATTCCTTAAATTTCCAATAACTCCGTTTACGCGTTGCATAAATTATAAATTAGTCTAATTGTGGATTAAGACTATATTGTAAAAATATTTTAGTATATTCATTATATTATGCAAGTTCAGAATAGTTTGGATGTCCAAAGTCCTTTGAATGTAATGGGCACTTGCGACTTTTAGTTTGGATGTTTAAATGCAAAGTCCACTTACATGGTTGGGAGTGAGTCGTTCCTATGACTGTTGTTCAAAAGGAATCGATATAATTTGTGTTCTGTTGTGCTAAATCTACAATATTGTTCACAATTTACAAATAATATTTTTGTATGTTTGTTCATCATAGATGTCTTCAACGTTTGACCTTTTTAGAGATGTCACTTGACAAGATACCCATTGGGCATTGTGGCTACGTGTCCCTATTTAACATCACTATTTAAGCTACATTTCATAAAAGGCCGATAAGAATGAAGATAAATAGTACTCCATAGAAAAAATATATTACCTTTGAATGCGAAGGTTATTTGCAGGCTTTGCAGCATGGCATGTTTAGCGTGAGAGTAAATAATGAGGAAGAAGCATGTGCGTGTTGTCATGAGATTGAGATAAGATAATTACCCGGAATCCTAACTTTAATAGATATACTAAGGACGGAAATGTTCAGGTCCCCACGTTCGGACAGCAGCCTCCGTTCGAACATGGCCATTTGGGGCCCTTCCCGGTGGAATTTTTTGCTGAAATATTTTGAGCATGTTTCTCACCAAGTCTGGTTTGTCCATACCAAATTTCAGCTCAAAATTCGATCGGGAAGACATTCTAATCATTTTTTGAAGTTGACTGCGCTTTTATATGTATATTTTGGCGCAGTCAACTTAAAAAAATGATTTGACTTCCTTCCCAATCGAATTTTGAGCTGAAATTTGGTATGAACAAACTAGACTTGGTGAGGAACATGCTCAAAAACTTTCATAAAAAAATTCCACCTGGAAGTGCCCCAAATCACCATCTTCGGACACTGTTCGGACAGAAAGTTGCTGGACAGGATCATTTCTCATACTAAGGACATGTTTACTTCACGGGTTACTAACCTGTGCTTATGTAGACCCGCGTTAAATAAGCAGCGCATAAAATAAGCAATGTTGTAAGATCATGTTTACTTCAAAGGGTTTAAAACAAAGTTTAACATTAAAATGTCCAAAATAACTTTATACATATATAGACACATATATATTCATGAACACAAGTATATAATATAATATGTGGGGTCACCTCGTACATGTACCCATACCCCTAACCTAAACCCCCACCCCTTACACCCCCCGATACCCCCACCCTACCCCTACCCTTACTACGACCTTACCCTCTACTCTTACTCCCCTACAACCCTTCATTCCCACCCCCTAACAGCTACACTACTCGTAGGGGTGAGGTCGGGGTCGGGGTAGGGTCGAGGTAGGGTAAGAGGGTGAGGTTGGGGTTATGGTCAACGGTAGGGTGGTTAAGGGCTAATGTGGTGTGATAGGGGTAGGGTGGGGTCATGGTAGGGGATAAAGGGGCGGGATGGGGGTGGGTCGAGGTAGGGTCAAGGGGTAGGGGTGGGGTAGGGTCGTGGTTAGGGGTACAGGGTGGGTGGGGTCGGGGTAATGTAGGGTAGGGGTAGGTATAAAAAGGGGTTGGGGTGGGGGTAGGATGGCAGTTATGGTGGGGTCGGATGGGGGTGGGACCGAGGCCTGTGGTAGGGGTGGGGGTAGGATGGCGGTAGGGCGGGGTCGGGATCGAGGTGCGACCGAGGTAGGGACAAGTGGTTAGGGGTAAGGGTGGGGGCTGGTGGGTGGGGTTGGGGTAAGGTAGGGTTGGGGTTAGGGGGTATGGGGTGGGGGTAGGATGGTGGTAGGGTGGGGTCGGGATCAGGGTAAGGCCGTGGTAGGGGCAGGGTAGGGTGGGGGTAAAGGTACGTGGGTGGGGGTAAGGTCTGGTGGGTAGGGTGGGGTCGAGGTAGTAGGGGTGGCAGTAGGATGGCGACAGGGTGGGGTCGAGGTAGGGGTATATGGTAGGGGGTTGGAGTACGGTTGTAGGGAAAAGGGTTACATGGGGGGTGGGGTAGGGTAGGGTGGGGGTAAGGGGTAAAGTACGAGGGATGGATGTAATGGGTAGGGTGGGGTCAGGGTAGTAAGTAGGGGCAGGGTGGGTGGAGGGTGGCGGGGGGTAATGGGGTAACAATAGGGTAAAGACAAGAGATAAGGGTAAGGGTAAATTCGGAAACTGAAAAAGTTTAAAGTGCCGCATAATTAATAGATGAGGGTGGTATGCTTAGTAAGCGTCACTTTAAGCATCTCTTTCGGTTAGTAAGCAGCTTTTTAAGCAGTGTGCATGTTTACTTCACCTGTCTTACTAACCTAACTGTGACTTTAACAGCGAATTAAACGTCTCCTAAGATATTTTAATCGTTGGGTGTCGGCCCAAAAGGGTTCAATTAAAGAAACAAATCAAATGGACCACCAGGAAAATTTAAATTTTATTTCATTTACTTTGGCCTTGTTTGGCAATCGGCTATTAGCTGGTAGCTGGTTATGATAGTGGTTTGACAACAGCTGGTTGTGTTAGCTGTTCTGATTGGCTGGTTATGTTAGCTTGTTGTCAGTAATTGTTTGGTAATTTATCTGATTAAGAATAGCTGTTAGAGCGTAAAAAGACGTATCGAACCTATACTTACATACTTGGTAGTACATACGAAGTATATCCGTATTTTAGAAATTTTAGAAAATTGGAAATAAAATTAAATCACAAATAAAATAAATTGCTAAAAGGATGACACCCCATCCCTGAGGGCCCCCAACACCGACCGGACGGCATGATGGGAGAATGTAAATTAGACTATAATCACAATCTGACAAATAAAGAGTGGAGCTCCATTCTCGGTACTTGCAGAGGCTCTATGTATTTTTAGCATAGTAACCTCTCATCGCTGTTGCCGGAATTCGAACCCAGGACCTAACCTTTATGGCACTCCCTCGCTACCAGTTGAGTTACGCCCACTGGTAATAAATTGTTAGATCCTATCCTACAAAGTGTTTGGTGCGTCCTCCATCAATCATTCACCTCCACTAAAAAAGAATTTGGGTAAAGTAAACATCATACATTGAGTAATATTAAAAAATATACGTAGTATATATACTTCAGAATAGAGTGCCATATTTTTCCAGGATATGTGAGCAGAATGTGCCATATTTTTCGAGGATTTATGGCACTGCTTTCCTGATCAAATTTTGAGCTGAAATTTGGTATGGACAAACTATACTTAATGAGGAACATGGTCAAAAAATTTCATAAAAAATTCGACATTAAGACCCTCTGATGGGCTTGTCCGCACGGGGCTTCTCTTCAGGAGCTCCTGATGTGAACTGTCCTCCTTCAGAATAATACTTTATAAGATGGCGTTGGGTAACTAACAGATCGAGTAATAGAATGAGTAAATTTTAGGGAATCTGGAGTATTTTGTGTTCAGGGAATTCAGCAGTCAGTTGTAAGCGAAGGGAGATGGAAAGTTGGAAACGAAATAATAACGAAAAATACAACATAAGCGAATTGAAATTACTAATTATACATACCTAAGGCATTTTGCCGGTCAAATTGTGCTTGAAGAGGAAAATAGAGTTATGGTTAAAGATATGTAATAAATGTTAAAAACCAGACAAACATGCGTGAAGGAGATGAACGAGACCCAGGGCAGAAACGGAATTGATGGAGACGCCGATTATAAACGCTGCACAACCCAGCGTTTTGATATTTAGTTGATCGAGTGCCACAAGCTAACTTAATCATTCATTTACCAAACACTAATTTTAGCTGTTTAGGTAGTCAAAATCATTAATTGTAGTCAAAGAAGCCAAAAATTGGATGATCAGCCATTTTCCAAACATGACCTTTATTTATCTATAATACTCGTGTCATATTGTGAAGGAGGCTGAATTCTTCGTAGAGAAGATTCTTCATATTAATTAAGTGTTTCATTTGTGCAAGTTTCATTTTTTAATGACGTTTAATAATTCTTTATAAGTTTATTTGACTATGACGATGATCATGACCATGGGTCCATGACTGCTTATGCAATTATGAGGGTTGTAGTGATGGCAAAGATGACCGGGGCAAAAATTATAAGCACAACAATGGATTACTAATTTGTTTTGTGAAAATGTTATTTCAACAATATTATTGAATCATTTTAGATTGGTTTCACAATTTCAAAATAAAGCTCAATTGTTAATTTACATGGTCCTTAATCATTTTATAAACAAATAGTGTGATTTATTAAAATGATGTTATTTGAATATGATGATTATTATTATAATAAGCATCACATTAGTGCACGTGTGATGGTGTTTTATAATAATAATGCTTTATTATGTAACGGTTCCCTTAGTTCAGTTTCTATTCAAATAAATGAAGGTTGCCGAGTTTCAGATATACGTATGTATATTTTACATGTATTAAAAAGAATTCTTTTCTTAAAAGAATGATTTTTTAAATTTCCATTTATTAATGGACATGTACGTTTAAAGAGGCACACCTTTTCTTATTTGAAGGCTTTACAGCCGTTTTATGAATGATTACTTCGGTTAGTTTTATAACTGCTCATTTTTAAAGTTACACTTTCATTATAAATAGTAGGAACATGTTGGATTGATTGACGTATGAAAATTTATTTTTTCAGTCTACTCTTGCCTTACTAAATACTAATATCTGCAGTGTTAGTATTAAAGTGTTTAGACCACTTTATATACATATCACTTGTTTAGTGTTATTTTGTCAGTAGCCAAAATACACTGTACACCTTCTTTTTATCCCAAAAGTTCTATCTTGTAACCCGGTTACTGTGATAAGGGTAGATAGTAAACTTTTAGGAAAGCGTATTTAATACGTGACTAGATGTGATATCCGGTTCAGCCATATTTCTATACCCTTATATTTTACTATTTTTATCCTCTAGTTCTAACAATCTAAAAGTTTACTATACCGAAAATATGGCTGCTACTCAGCGTGATATCATCAACACCAATTTTCAAAAATTGGAAAAGTTTGAAGGAGTGGAGTTTCGAAGATAGCGGAAAAAGATGCATTTTCTGCTCACTACTTTGAAAGTCGTTTATGTGTTAAGCACCCCGAGGCTGCCCGAGGATGATGAAAACGAGACTTTGGAGACAAGCCGGCGCCGCATAAAGTGGGACAATGACGACTACATTTGCCGTGGACACATTTTGAATGGTATGTGCGATTCTCTTTTTGATGTGTATCAAAATGTTAAATTTGCTAAAACGTTGTGGGAATCGCTAGAATCTAAGTACATGACCGAGGATGCTTCAAGTAAGAAATTTCTCATTAGTAACTTTAATAGTTACAAAATGGTTGATTCCCGTCCGGTCATGGAACAATTTCATGAAATTCAACGTTTATATGATCAACTTTTGATACACAACATGCATGTAAATGAAACCTTTGCGGTCGGTTCTATAATCGACAAATTACCACCGTCATGGAAGGAAGTGAAAAGTAGCCTCAAACGCAAAAAGGAGGATTTGTCAATGGAGCAACTTGGTCGCCGACTTCAAATTGAAGAAGGCATTAAGTTGCGTGAAGGTGACAATGGTAAAAAGAACGACATTCCGATTTCCTCTATAAATGTTATGGAGGAGGGACAATCAAGTGGGACTAAGAAAAATAAAAAAGGTCCCGGGAAATTCACCAAAGGTTCCAAGTTTCAAAAGAAGCCGAAAAATAAGAAAGTAGGCTCTTGTTGGGAATGTGGCGGTCCACACTTCAAGAGGGACTGCCCGAAGGTGAAGAAGAAGAAGCCCCAACCGAACGGCCATCCTAACGGTGGCCAAGACAACCAAGGATGATGAATCCTAGTGGATCGACACCGGAGCAACAAGGCATGTATGTAAAGATAGGCAAGCTTTTAAGACTTTAAAAGAGTTGCAAGAGGGGTCGATCTTATACATGGGAAATGACTCTACTGTGCAAATTCAAGGAATTGGGAAAGAGAGTTGGAATTAACTTCCGGGAAGAAATTAATTCTTAATGATGTGTACTTTGTACCACAAATCCGGAAAAATCTTGTCTCCGGTGGAATCCTAAACAACTTTGGGTTTAAACTTAGCTTTGAAGCAAATAAGTTTATTTTATCTAAGGGTGGTGTATTTGTAGGCCAAGGTTTCTATTGTAATGGCATGTTCAAACTAAGTGTTGTTAATAAAGTAGTTAATTCTGTTTATTTGGTTTGTGATTCTTCTTTGTGGCACAAGAGGTTATGTCATGTTAATTACCGTAGACTAATACTAGAAGAAAAATCGTTTATAGAGGCAATACTTTGAAGCAACTTTGCCTCTAAATGACTCTTTAGCATCATACTAATCTTGGTTGCCTCTAAAAGGTATTATTTGAGACAAACATAATTTTCCTGTCTCTAAAAGGCATCATTTGGAACAACTCTTTTAAGGTTGCCTCTAAAAACTTGTTGCAAAATTATGTATATACCACCTAAAAGGTACTCCGTATTATTTGGAGCATTCTTTCCAAAAATGTTTATAAAAACTTGTTGCGAAAGTATTACTGCCTCTAGGTATTATATGCTTCAAAATGTAATTCCACTTATAGCGACAATGTTTTTGACAATTAATTTTCTTAGTCCTCGTAAAAGTGCAATCAATTTACGATGCTTCAATTATTGCCTCTAAAGTATATGAATTTTAAATTTTGACTGGTTTTTAATGACTTTATGCTCTTCCTTACTAATCAATATTTTCTCGAAAAATCTGTATCACTAAAACATTTCCCAAAATTTATAATGCCTTGTATTGCCTTCTATTCTGTAATTCCTACAAAGTAGTTTTAAGTTTTAACTTATCATCATTGAAAAAATGTCAATTTATGGTATTGGATAAGTGACGTTTTGAAATAACATCCACAATTTATTTCCCTAAAAAGTTACGTAGTATATATGTGCGACGATTTTTAACTCTAAACTGCCGCTATTTAGTTAATTTCTATTATCTCATAAAATATTTGGCGGTTATTACTCCGTGTATCACAAAATAAGGTCTCACAAAATACAAAAAATCTATTGGTACACATTTTTCATACACACACCTACACACTCATGTTTGTGAAGAGTATTTTTTTGTCTGTATACAGACATAACGTATTTGAAAATGTGTTATGTCTGTATACAGACAAAAAAATACTCTTCACAAACATGAGTGTGTAGGTGTGTGTATGAAAATGTGTACCTCAAGCTAGATTGCACAAAATAAGGTACTCCGTATAAACCTCCGCCATTTATTAAAATTTAATTTTTTAAATTATCAAGCGTGCACCCATTGTTTCAATATTATTGCCGCAAAGAAGCCCCTGTACTATGCCGAAAAAGTCAATTAGGCCCTCGTACTTTACAAACACTCAATTAAGTCTTCGAACTATTAAAAAACATTCAATTAAGCCCTTTTAGTCGGTAAGTAACTGGTTTCCCGATTAAACGGCGACGACGGCGACGATGTGCTCGAACTCCAGCAACGGCGGCTGCCGGGAAACGGGTCACATTTAACCGGGAAACCGGTTACTTACCAACCGAAAGTGCTTAATTGAACGTTTTTTAATAGTTCGAGGACTTAATTGAGTGTTTGTAAAGTACGAAGGCCTAATCGACTTTTCAGTATAATACGGGGCTTATTTGATAGTTTTCCATTTTTTCCTTAAATCCTAGTTGCACACCTGCAATCGTTTTTTGCCAGCAGCCATCAAATAACCTAGCCCTAATGCAACTTGTTACAGCCGCTTTGAGTGAGGTAAATACTTCAAAGTAGATGGTGCGGCGGACGGTTGATACAATGACAAACAACATGGCGTCGGTTGACGCAGTGGTGGACGGCGCGGCGGGCGGTTGACGCAGTGGTGGACGGCGCGACGGGCGATTGACGCAGTGGCTCACGGCTGAGGTTGGAGGACACTGGTGACAACTTCTCCAATTTTGACTGCGGAGACAACATCTCCCACATATATACCTTCGGCGATAGGCCAAGTAATGGAGGCATATAGCTATATATTCCGATGATGACGACTTGTTCGAAACCCGCGTTGCTCAATTTCAGGTACATAGCTTTATAAAGTTAAATCCCTGATTTTCGAGACCGACATAATCCTGCTTGGTATTTTTTATTTCATTTGATTCTAATTATGTTTCCACTCGATGAGGAGGAGTTTAGGAATATGTTTGGAGAATTCAGTTCTAAATGAGATCAATTTGAAGGCTTCATAAGGGTCAGTGTTTAGTATTGTTCTTCTTTCTTTTAATCCTTTTAGCCTATTCTCACACAGGGTTTGTTGTGGAATTGGATTTCCGGAAATTTGAACTTTAGTTCAATCTAATGGGAAGAAACCAGTTCGCTTGAACTGCTTTTAATTTGAAAAGAAGTAATTAGGAATGCCATTTCCAGAGCTAAAGCAGTTTATATGTAATTTCTGAAATGTACCCACCAATTTCATATGTACTTCTTCTGCTCTATTTTATCTCTGCTGGTACATAAGATCCTTTCATATGGTTGCAGATTTCTTCTCAAAGGAGTCCATATCTGGTTTAAACTTATTCTCATATTTCTGTTTCTCTAACTTTAATTTCTTCAATCTGTTTTATTAGAGTTACTGGGATAATAATAATAAATTCCTCAGGTTAATGAAATGATATGATATACGCAGTAGATTGTATAAATTAATCCCAAAAGCATAATATTAAAAGGAAAAAATTTGATTAGTAACTACGTAATATATTATTTGTTTGTTTTCTGTTTTATTTTGTAAATTTGCTTGTGTTAATTAGAATGATATTTTTTATTTGCTTGAAGGTCAAACTACTCTTTTATATGCGGAGTATGTGGTTTGAAGTTTGCATTTGTGGGCCTGCTTGTGTACAGACTACAAGGTTTATTTCAGAATTCATTTGCTTAATTCTTACTACTTCAGAATATAGACCTCGTACTAAAACATTTGATCTATGATTGTGTAGTTTTTTCAAGGAGATTCTAACTAAAGTAACAACAGTTAACTCTTAGAGCAGGTTTTGACCAAACTGCATGTGAAAGAGGTAAGTCTTATGCTTCTCTTGTTCTACATATGAAAACCTTGACAAGTATATCCAAGTATATTAGCTTCTTATCTTCGGTACCACAAGTTGTTATTAATCCTTTATGATGTTTTGTATTCTAAGGATTTTATTAATATCCTCATTTATGATTTTTTATAAACCCAAGATACTGAGTAGTGATAAAACAAGTATAACCGTAAAAAGAACCTAAAAGAAGGAAAGGAAAAACTGTAATAGAACATTAGAAGTTTTGTGTTTGCTATTGCAGTTTTTCCACACAAAAATTTCACACAACTGTCGTTGTTCCTTGTGTTAGCTTCAGTTTATGGTTTTCCAGAGCTAATAACTAATGAGTTATTTTATCACATTTATTGTGTGTCACCCCTTCTGAACAGAATTATAAAGATAATAGATGGTTTATACTTTATACACTTTGTTGGGTGTCACTATAGCACGTAGAACTTGGTTGCTAGTTAGTAGGTCTGGTTGCTGGTGTTTTGGCCAACAAATGGTTGTTGGTGTGTTATTTTAAGTTTCATTTCTGGACTATATTTACTAGTTAGTTTGTTTCTGAACTAGTTTGTTGAAGTTTTGTGTAGGTGTATCAGTGTGTATTTGTGGAACACTTGCTGCATGAAGTTTTAGTCTATTTTGCTCATGCTTGATGGGGAATACCCCTGGATTAATTAACATTTCCTGGCAGCTTATTTAAATTTACCTTTCATCCAAAATACCTTTTTTAGTTATTTCTTAAATTAACTTTTATAATAATATTTATGAAATTCTATCTTCGTAGTACTAATTTACTTTTTTCTGATGTGTCAGATCAAGAAACAGAGTGAGGAAATGCCAACAAATGAAGAAACTGAAGTGAAATTTTTCCTTCGCTTTGGAAATCAAGAAATTTCATCTGGTTTCAACCGAATAGTTAGCCGCCACTAAATTTGTTCCAGCTTTGTATGGAGTATTATTGAGCTTTATTGAGTAGTTGCAATTTACTTGAAGTTAACTTATGTAATTACTTCATTGTATGATTGTATGAATAAACTTTGTTCCGAAATCACGTCTTATCATCTTATGTAGTTTGTTAAGAAACTCTAAAAGTATTGTAAAATATGTAATATTAAGAGCTCGTATTTAAGAAATCATGTAATCAGTAATAATGTATAATGATGCGAGTAAACTAATTGAGAGTTGAGACAACATCAAAACATTAACGTATTGTTGCCTCTAAAAGCATAAATAGCAACGAAATAAATTGCATCTAATAATATATAGTGACAATATATGGTATTGCCTCTAATAACATTTTGAGTCCATATAATTATGATTGCTTCTAATTATATTTTGAGACAATGTAACCTGATTGCCTCTAATGATATTTTGAGACAAGGTAATATGGTTGCCTCTAAATGTATACATTTTAGAGTCAGTTCTTCGCTTGCCTCTAAAAGTAGTTTTAGAGGCAACCATCATTTAGGGACGGATTAATTAGAGACACCTTTGGGGCAACCAATAATTTGTCTCTAAAAGTAATTAGGGGCTACTTTTCGATTTATAGAGGCAACAATGTCCCGCCTCTATAAATCATTTTTGTTGTACTTATAAGTGACATGTCTAAAGTAGGATTAATTCCTCCTTTTAATATTAACATAGAAAAATATAGAACTTGCATGTTAAATAAAATCACTACAAATTCTTTTCAAAATGTTGAAAGAAAATCCAACATGCTTGAATTAGTGCATAGTGATTTGTGTGATTTCCATAGCACTCCATCTTTTGGAAATAAAAAATATGTAGTCACATTTATTGATGATTGCACAAGATATTGTTATATATATCTTTTATTTTCAAAAGATGAGGAAATGGATAAATTCAAAGTTTTTAAAACGGAAGTTGAGTTATAAACCGGAAAGAAAGTAAAAAGGCTTAGAACTGACAAAGGAGGAGAATATTATGAGCCTAATTATTTCGAATCCGTTGGAATAATCCATGAAACCACATCCCCTTACACGCCGCAACAAAACGACATTGCTGAAAGAAAGAATAAAACTTTGAAATAAATGGTTAATTCCATGTTGTCTAATTCGGGCTTAAGTAATGGTTTTTGGGGTGATGCAATGTTAACTGCTTGTTATATTCTTAATAGAGTGCCTAACAAGAAAAATAAGATTACCCCATATGAACTTTGGCACAAAAGAACACCCCAACTAAGTTATCTTAGGGTATCTGGTTGTAGGGCAATCGTGAGATTACCTGAACCTAAACAAAAAACGTTGGGTGAAAAGGGGGTAGAGTGCATATTTATTGGATATGCTGAACATAGTAAATCTTATCGATTCTATGTTATTGAACCGAATGACTCAATTGCGGTTCACACTGTTATTGAGTCTAGGGATGCTCTTTTGATGAGAAGCGGTTCACCTCTATTCCTAGGCCAAAGGATGTTGATCCCGGTCCAAGTAATTCACACTTACATGAACTGCAAAAGGATCATGAAAATGAGCCTGAAATAAGACGGAGTAAGAGGGCTAGAAAAGAAAAGTCATTTGGTCCTGATTTCCAATTATATTTGGTTGAGGGATCAAGAGAGACCCTTGAAACTCAAACACTATATTGTTATAATGTTGAGGAGGATCCTAACTCTTTTTAGGAGGCAATGAAATCACAAGATGCTTCCTTCTGGAAAGAGGCCGTAAATGATGAAATGGATTCAATCATGGGCAATAATACTTGGGTTCTAAGTGATATACCACCCGGTTGCACACCAATCGGTTGTAAATGGATTTTCAAGAAGAAAATGAAAGTAGACGGTACCATTGACAAGTTTAAAACTTGATTGGTTGCAAAAGGCTTTAAACAAAAACATGGTATTGATTACTTTGACACATATGCACCGGTAGCTAGAATAACTACCATAAGATTGTTAATTTCTTTATTGGCTATTCACAATCTTGTAATTCACCAAATGAATGTCAATACTGCATTCTTAAATGGTGAATTGGAGGAGGAGGTGTATATGAAACAACCCGAAGGGTTTGTTGTTACAGGACAAGAAAAGAAAGTTTGTATGGTCTGAAACAAGCACCTAAACAATGGCATCAAAGGTTTGATGAGGTGGTGCTGAAAAATGGTTTTAAAATAAATCAATCAGACAAGTGCGTATATAGCAAATTTAATGAGCATGATAACGGTGTCGTTATTTGTTTATACGTGGATGAAATGCTCATATTTGGCACTGATTGGAGGAAAGTAAAAGAAACAAAAGCTTTCCTCTGTTCAAACTTCTCCATGAAAGATATGGGTGAAGCGGAAGTTATCCTTGGAATTAGGATAATTAAGCAAGGTGATACTATCACCTTAACACAATCTCACTATATAGAGAAAATGTTGAAAAGATTTGGGAGTTTGGATTGTTCACCGGTTTCCACTCCCATGCATCCTAGTTGGAAATTAGTTCCAAATAGTGGGAACATTGTATCACAGCTTGAATATGCTAGAGTGATTGGGTGTTTGATGTATGCAATGACTAGCACTCGGCCAGATATTGCATTTGCGGTAGGAAAGCTAAGTAGATATACTAGTAATCCTAGTATATTTCATTGGCAAGCCTTGAGGCGAGGGCTGAAATATCTAAAGAAAACAATGAGCTTCGGCTTATGTTACAAGAGTGAACCCTCTATATTAGAAGGTTATACAGATGCAAGTTGGATAACTGATCAAGAGGATTATTCATCCACAAGTGGATGGTTATTCCTTCTTGGAAGAGGTGCTATATCATGGGCATATAAGAAACAAACTTGTATCACGGACTCTACCATGACTTCGGAGTTTATAGCTTTAGCATCGGCTTGTAAAGAAGCGGAATGACTTAAGGATTTAGTGTCAGAAGTACCGATATGGCCCAACCCATAGCTCCGATGTCAATCCATTGTGATAGTGCATCAACTCTGTCAAAAGCTTATAACCATGTGTACAATGCTAAGTCAAGGCACATAGGAGTGAGACATAGCTATGTGCGGGAACTTATAAGTTCTGGAGTTGTTGTGATTGATTTTGTACGATCACATGTAAATTTGGCGGATCATTTCACAAAAGCGATGTCAAGGGACATGGTGTACAAAACTGCAAAAGGGATGGGGTTAAAGCCCTTGGAAAATAATCACAAGTGAAAGAAAGAACAACTCAACGTCTAGTACAACGCTAGATCTTAAGTTCAATGATGATGAGTAAGTCACTCCGTGATTGAAGAACTTTTGAATTATAACCATCCCGAGGTAAGTGCTTGAGTCTGCAATGTGTAATAAGGTTGACTATGTCCTAATAGATCTTTTGATAAAGTGTTTGATTGCAGAACGCAATTTGAAAAGGTCTACCTATGTGAGCTAGAATTGCGGCCGATTCACCAAGTTTAAGGTTTTACTTGTTGGAGCTCATGAATGGATATGGACTCAAGGCCGTTAATGGTGTCAAGTTTCTAAGTGAAATTGTATAAAGATTTGTGTGTGTAATATCTTCAGTATTTCAAAGTGGTTGTATAGTTCAAAGCTTAGTCTACTATTATGATCCGAAATATTGTAAAGAATATTGCACTAAATGAAAGTTCAATCGTTACGAGTTACGACACTTTCAATTATGCATAAGTCTTGATAAGTGGTCTATTTAGCAAGGATTGAGTATATTTATTTTCAATAAATGGAGGAGGATTATTGGAGATTTATTGAAAATAAAGCTCAATTGTTAATTCACATGGTCCTTAATCATTTTACAAACAAATAGTGTGATTTATTAAAATGATGTTATTTGAATATGATGATTATTATTATAATAAGCATCACATTAGTACACGTGTGATGGTGTTTTATAATAATAATAATAATGCTTTATTATGTAACGGTTCCCTAGGTTCAGTTTCTATTCGAATAAATGAAGGTTGCCGAGTTTCAGATATACGTATGTATATTTTACATGTATTAAAAAGAATTCCTTTTTTAAAAGAATGATTTTTTAAATTTCCATTTATTAATGGACATGTACGTTTAAAGAGGCACACCTTTTCTTATTTGAAGGCTTTACAGCCGTTTTATGAATGATTACTTCGGTTAGTTTTATAACTGCTCATTTTTAAAGAGTTACACTTTCATTATAAATAGTAGGACCATGTTGGATTGATTGACATATGAAAATTTATTTTTTCAATCTACTCTTGCCTTACTAAATACTAATATCTGCAGTGTTAGTATTAAAGTGTTTAGACCACTTTATATATATATCACTTGTTTAGTGTTATTTTGTCAGTAGCCAAAATAAACTGTACACCTTCTTTTTATACCAAAAGTTCTATCTTGTAACCCGGTTACTGTGATAAGGGTAGATAGTAAACTTTTAGGAAAGCGTATTTAATACATGACTAGATGTGATATCCGGTTCAACCATATTTCTATACCCTTATATTTTACTATTTTTATCCTCTAGTTCTAACATTCGATAGTTTCAAGATTGTGATTAGATAATTTTGAAACTCACCTTTTCAAATGTACTTCTCTTTTTCAAATTATATTTTTTTGATTAATTCAAAATCTCAAATAATTTCTTCTAATTTTATAATTTTAAACAGGTCTTTTTCACATTTTCACAATTAAATGTACTATACTAGTTGAATTTCATACTCATTAAGCCACTAGCCGTTTTCTTTTTTGATTTATCGATATCGAAGCGTATTTATATACGGAGTATTAAGCTACATAAACATTTTTTTCTAGCAATACCAATTCAAAGTGAACCTAATTCAGGGTTTGCATTTTCATTTCAATTCGCAAAGTAATACGGAGTATATAGCAAGTTTTGAGCTAAGCAATAGAACTTGAGTCATAAATCATAATGGTATATATGTAGTTGTGTGTATTCATTTTAGTTTGTGAAGTAACAAGTTTCTATTTTAGTATGATCCCCTAGAAGGGATATTTAAAGTTCACTTTCAAATATGTGTTCCGGGGAATGAATGTGGTGATATAAAATTTATGCATCATTTCTGACATACACGTCTCACACGCAAGAACAATAACGACTACCTCCTACTTGTGTTATCTACTTGCCGAGTACTTAGCGAGTACACACCACTCGGGAGTTGGCCGTTTCATTTAGTAATCTGACTTGTCACGTGCTTTTTTTCCGGAGTTACTCTCCGAGTACTCGGCGAGTTTCAAAACTCGAGAAATATTTGATTCGGCGAGTTACTCGGCCAGTCATTAATATTCTTTAGGGTTAAATCAGTAAAGTTTTTATTAAAGTAGGATACTATGGGACTTGTAAATAATGAGTGGTGTTATTTTAAAATTTGAAAATTAAGCTCCCATAGTCTAGTCTAGGTTTAAAAGTATCTCGAATGTCGGCTCATTCTAGCAGTAGTTCTACGTCATGTCCCAGTAAGTTATTTTCCTTCCCGACTCTATCTTCCTTCTCGTTTCTTTTTCATTAGGATTATATTTAATTCGTATCAAAAGACTTGTAAGACTAATACATTGCTATAATTTTGGACATCTACATTCTTAAATTTAATTAATACAGGACCGAATAATCTCCAATTAATCCTGAGTACTCGATCCTACTTGCTACTCGGCCTTAATCTCCATAATCTTCTCTGCCTTTTTGCTCAATTTTGTTTCTTCCCCAATACTAGTAACAAACAAATGGAAAATTTGAAAAGTTCACATTCTAACAATAACACATAACAAAAAGGATGAGTAACCATGTGTACACAATGTACTACAAGTACTAAATACCTAAGTTTTCATCAGTGTGTAGAAGTTAAATGTATCAAAACTTAACAAAAAAATTGCAACAACTGAACTCAGAAATAAATAACCCAACAGTTTGTTAAGATCTATGATTTCATCCTAAAAGGTGAACCTGATAGGAGGAGAAATCCAAATCTTAATATAACACTTAATTCTTTCACAAGTCTCCGGTGTGTGAATTCAACACCCCTCCTTACGACCAGACATTTCGTTTGGATCGTGCCATCATTCATTTTTTTCATCTGTTAGTTAATGTCATTTTTTTATAATCATGTCAGTCATTTTGACTAAGCAGGGCTCATACCATGGATCGATTAGGCTCTGATAACATGTTAAAATATGGGGTATCCTAAAAGATCAACTTGATAGGAAGGGTAATCCAAATCTTAATATAAGACTTAATTCCTTCACAAGTATCCGGTGTGGGAATTCAACACAGTTTTGTCAAACAATTAACAAAAATTTAACATTCAATTAGCAAACATTTAGCAACAAACCCATGTAATAAAAGAATTTACCAACAATTTATACACCTAATTAAACTCCTACACATCTTTACCAAAATACAAAATTCTAAATATATGCCAACAATTTACAAAAATTTCTACTCCCAAATTCTACACAGTTTACCAACAATTTACATATTCAAACACAAATCCTAGCTTCAATCGGTCCCTACTCTTCAATTGATGTTAAAAGAGTTGTCAAAAAAAGAAACGTAAAGATTAAAATGGGACGTAAAGATTAAGTGAATTCAATGATTTTTTTGCAGTACCTAGCAGAGGAGTTGCGGGTGGAGGATATGTAATGGGAGTGACGTTCCGACGCAGGTTTGCTCTGATTTTTTTCTTTGGGGCAGACTCGCAGGTTGGTGTTTAATGACGGGTGGAGGACACAGGATTTTAAGTGGAAAAGCTCCAAATGGTTTGCGGCTTATAAATGGCCACGTTTTGATGTATTACAAATAAATTTTGAGCTCAATTTTTGTGGGTCGCAGTGGCAAAACTTATGGGTCGTGACAGCCAATCTTGTTCAATGGCTCATGGGTTGCTGGGGCTAGACTTTAAATACTACTGTAGTAATACTTATGTCTATGTGTTATTTCTGGAATGAATGAGCACATATGAGTGTCAGAATGGGACACAAAACGAGTAACTAGTGCCGAAATGTGGGTCTTGGGGCTGGGAAGGTGTACCCGGGGGCATGCAGAAGTTAATCAGGCGCCCCTAGTAGGTCGGGGCTAGGGGAGCAAACGAGCCGATCAGAACCCGAGCATGGGTATGTTGAGCTTGAGCTTGATATAAATTCACGAGCTCGAGCTCGATCTCGAGTTTGGACGACTTAAATAATTTGAGCTAGATCTCAAGGCGAGCTCGCCTCGAGCTCCATTCGAGCTTGGTTCGAGTTCGAGTCAAGTTTCGCTAATTAATTTTTATAGATTTGAACTCGAATAAGATGCTCAAACTTGAACTAAAAATATTATATGTGTACTTCATTTTAAGTTTAGATAAGATGCTCGAACTCGAGCTAATTAATTTTCATTTTCATTTTTAGTTTATCTCTCATTTATTAACATTTTATTCTTTATTTTACTGTAAATAAATATTAAAAGTACATATTATAATTATTACAGATTATAATAATAATAATAATAATAATAATAATAATAATAATAATAATAATAATAATAATAATAATAATAATAATAATAATAATAATAATAATAATAATAATAATAATAATAATAATAATAATAATGATGATGATAATGATGATGATGATGATGATGATGATGATGATGATGATGATGATGATGATGATGATGATGATGATGATGATGATGATGATGATGATGATGATGATGATGATGATACGAACATGTTATTATTTTTGTACTCCTAATTATTACTATTACAATATACTCTGTTGTTGGGATATTAGGTCCAGGCCCAATATCCCTAGGCCCAAATCCGTGAAGAAGCAGCGGGCCCAAGGCAGTCCAAAGAATTCCCGAACAGCATTCGGGGTAGAACTTATACTTGGAACATTCCGGGGAATAATTATGCCAAAGTAACAAGGGCCAGATACCGATCGGCGTTCGGGATACTTCCATTACAAGATAACACCTATTGCGGGGGCCCACACACCGAACACATTGCCCGAACGGGCGGTCAGCAAGTGGAGGCCGCATTCAATGCTGAATCATGGCGGCTGCAAGTGGGGGCATGAATGCTTACATGGCAGAGGTGACAGCCTACCAGATTCGGCCACGTGTCCACCTTACCCATCCCCATTTTAGTATAAATATCCATGTTTAGATCATTGTAAAGGGTTAGCATTTTGATACTCAGGGCTTAGCAATAGATTTACATCTCTTATCTTTGTATTCTCATAATCATCTACCGTTCGGGTAGTTCCAGTGTAATCACATATTTATTGAATACCAGTAAGCTTCTGAGTTGAACAAATATCTCACTGTTTTATATTTTATACACCTTCCAATCCGACCAAATATCCCTACAATATCCAAGGCTTGTGTTGGGCTTTCGGATCTTCGGGAATAAACTTCAACACTCTGTGATAACAACAAGAACAACAACATCTAAGCCCGAATTCCAAAAGATGTTGGGGTCGGCTAACATGAATCGATCCATCATATCGATTCATAATATACTCTGCGATAAGTATTGAAAATAGAATAGTCCTAAATTAGAATACATTTTTCAAAAAAAAGTATATATAAATAATTATTACGTATATATTTATTATATATAAAATATGACACAATGGCTCGTGAGCCACGAGCCTAAAATAAAAAGGCTTAAATTGAACTTGTTCACTATTCGACTCGAGTCGAACTCGAGTCGAGCTTAATATGACCGAATTCGAGTCGAGCTTTTCCCGAGCGATCCACGAGTAGCTCGCGAGCGGCTTGGCTCATTTACACCCCTAGTTGGGGTAAACACATTGACCCAAAGTAGATGATTATGGAGAGGTTGATAATAATTGCCTCCCAATTCTTTGTTGTTATGGCCTTGTATTCAAATGGTACATTAAAACGGTCACAATATTATGTCAAGCGAGAACCAGTCGATCTCCACTACCATTTCAGATGGACAAAACCAGGTTGGGGAAGCTCAATCCCAGTTATTCGATGTTTCGGAGGACCGCTGGGTCTTTTTTGAATGATCCCTAATAAGAGTAGGCCATTGTATGCCATGCAAAATGCAAAGACGATATCTTGACATTGAATGTTATTAAGAATCCTAATTTTAGTGGACATAAGGTCGTGAACTCCATATTGAGACCATTGAAGATATAATGTGATAATTCTGCAACCGTTACTTCTTTGAACAATAAGAGTTCGAGCGGTGCCGGATTATATCTTGACACAAAGTTCTTGTTCATACGTGAACGGTGAACAAGTAGAGGAAATCATCCTTTTTGTCGATTAGATTATCACTCATGATATGCTTCCGGATCCAATAACGAAAGGTCTACCACCCAAAGTCTTCCAAGAGCTCGTAACGAAGACGGGTTTTATTAGAGATCTTATATGAAAGCATATTATTGTAAACTTCCTCAAATGTCTTAAGTATTTTGTCTATACTAATGTATGCATGCACTTATTTCTCTATAGATAAATATATACAATTTTATATTGTATATTTCCATCATTTTGACATTAAATTTTCTAAGTGTTTTATGTTAAAGTTTTAGTATAATTGGTGGGGGTCTTTTGTTGATAATAACAAAATGACTGTATCTTTTTGCTATGACTTTAATATGAAATTGATGGGTATTAACTTTGGTCAAACTTATGAATACTCATCATAAATGGTCACTCGGCCAAGTGGGAGAATGTTGGAATATTTTCCATTTTATATGTGGCCTTAGGACCATTTATAATAATTATTAAATTATTACTATTTTAATAGTAATTACGCCAATATGATATAATGTGTCCCCGTCTTACCTGATGGGAGTAATTGTAATTATTATAAGGGGATAATTGATTTTCCGTTAGATGTCTATTAATGAAATAAATTAATAAGAATACATGACCGTTCATTTGTGTCTCTTCTTTCATAAATAAACGAAATGACACATTATTTAGTCATGCCCCTTCTCTTATGTCTTCATAGGACTATAAATAACACCAAATCAATTCTATGGGATATACGTACTAATCAATCCATTACTAAATTAGACATCATAATGGGAATCATGATTTTATCACGAACAAGATAGGATTTCCTTCAAGTAAGTAAATCATTTCTCATACTTGTTATACTGGGGTTGTGTTTAATTTGATTAGAGAAGATCAACGGAAACGTTGATCCAATTCTCACTGATATTGACCAAGTAATTGTATTGTTAATAAAGGTATTGCTGATTTTTATCCAATTCTTGTTGTAGTCATCAAATATAGTTTAAAAGTCGTCATCTCACATGTATTAATTAATTTAACTAGTGCTGTCATCATGGGTAGTTAATGTTTTTTTTGGTTGACTTTGTGTCTCACAAGTGTTCCTAAGTGGTTTTTTTTACAGGTTTATTACCAGTTTTTATTTTTCTTTTACTAATTAACTAGTGTTGATCCTATATTAATTTGTTGCTTTTTTTTCTCTGTTTTTTGTTACTGGTTAACTAATATTGCTCCCAATTTAGTTTGTTATTATTTTTTACTGGTTTTTATTGCTCCTTTGGAGGTTTTACTGTTTTTTCGTTTACTGCTTTTTTTTATTACTCTGTTTTTTGTTACTGGTTAACTAATATTGCTCCTAATTTAGTTTGTTATGTTTTATTGTTTTTCAGGTTGTACTAGTTTTATCTATTGTTTTTCTGTTTTAATGGCTTTATTTTTAGACCTTTATAGTTTTCTGTGTGTTACTCATATAAAACATTTATTCAATCAATAGAAGTGATGCACTCAAGAAGTATTCCTTATTTCCTTTTAATAAATGAATCCAAATACATGTTCTGCTTTCTGTTAATTTTATAGTTAATAAAACATATTTACATAAATATGACTATTCATTACTATAATGTGGTGTTGGGGTAACTTAAGTTCAAAACTTGAACATGAATTACTATAATTTCATTACTACTCTAGTCACTAATCATATTTTTGTAAATCATCTTTATTTTGGTGATATTTATGTAATTATTTCTTCTGTTAATGAATTGTTTTACAACTCTGACATTTAAAAAGAATCTATAATAAAATCATATTTACAACACCTGTAAAGCTTATTGACAATTCATTTAACTAGGGTAAATTTTTCAGCATTGCATTAAAATTTCGTAAAATCTACTTTTCCAAGGTGAGACTGTGAGAGTATAAATTAAAGTAGTAATCCGTACATTTTAATAGAACTACGTATCATTTCACCTTAATTAAAATTATTGGACTCAGCGGCGGAGTCAAGACACTGGACCGGATTGGACCGGTTGAAAGAATATTTTTGAGAAAAAATTTACACAAAAATTTTTACCTTAAAAATATAGACATTTTTAAAATTTGGGCTAGGTCGGGGCATGGGTTGACCCCTCCCTAGCTACGCCCCTGATTGGACTTAAAGTTTAATTCTTTTAATAAGTTAATCTTGTATTAATATGACTTATGAAATTATTTTTCTTCATGTACACTAATAGTTTAAAGTTGACATATTGAGGAGTATTTCTCTCGGGGTAAGTTTGGGAGAGGAGGAAGCGAAGATTTTGGTGTTAGCCATGAGGGGAAGGGGAGAGGAAGTGGGAAAAAAAACTTTTTTTTTGGGAGTTATAGATTTTAAATTTTTAATTATAATTAAAATTGTTTAAGCTAGATATATATTGAATTCAAATAATTGAATTTGTATTCATTTTAAATTGAGATAAAATTATCATTTAATTTGTTATCCTTCAAAAATTTTCAAATTAGAGAACTTAAAAATTGAGC